CTAGGATTTAGTTAGTTGTCGGGGGTGTGCATGATAGTCTTATTGAGGGGGTTTCTTGCCCCGTCTTGTTGGGCAGAACAATTTGACATGTTTCAATATGATAATTCTAGATCTGGATTATATTAAATATTTCCATAAGTAGGTTTAAAAGATGAGCGTAGCATGTAATGTTTCTCTTTTTTTTACGTGTAATACCTCCATGTTATACAATGTTGTTATGACAGTTTGAATGTTCATGGTTGATGCTTTATTATATTGATATTAAATATTGTGGGTGTTATTCTTCCGCTTATACGGTGGGTGTGTTAGCAATGTAATAGTCTTATCTGTTTTCCTATGTACTTTTATATTTTGGTGTTTGGTTTTGTTCATGCATCACCAACTTCTGGTAAATTCTCATTAAGGTTTAATGAGGTAAGGGTATAACCGCCTAATGGTTAGGTTACTTAAGGTATTTCTTGAACGGGGATGTAAATATTTTTGTTCTGCACTGAGGTATTATTAATTATTGTAAAAAGGAGATGGTTTTGTAGGACTTGTTGTTGGATGTTAATGGTGGTATATGGCTGTCGGCTATTAGTGTTTTTTTATTAGTACTGGGAGTGTGTTTACCTGGAGTTTACCTGGGAGAAGAGAGTTTTCGGGAGTAGTCAACGCCCCGCGGGCCCGGTCTGTGACCAGCCTCTGGTGATCAGACCCTGATACAACCAGGCTGTTGCTGTGGCTGCACGCAAACAACGTCCCATACGAGACACAGACCGGCCTGATATGAGGATTTTGTCGTTAAATCCAGCTATAGTTCTTCTTTTATTTAAACTCTTATACATTCTTGTATTTGTTGTAAGTAATGAGTGGGCCAATGAACCGGATTATATGAGAATGTTCTTTGTATATAAACTTTCATGTAGATAATGTAAATAAGTGTGACATTCTTAGGATTATATTGCTTTTGTGTTATAATGGTAATGGTTGTATTGGTATGGATATAATAAACCCCCCTATGTTCAGGTGTGGGTCTGTCCCTTAGTGCAGTTACTTGTATGTTCGGCATTTTTTTGGGGGGGTATCATAACATTTAAGTTGAAGTGTGTTTCTTATGTATAAGTTTGAGTGCTGGATTGGGAACGTGATTTGTTTGTTTTTAGTATTTAATGGTTAACATGTCGTTTGTGCTATGTGACGTATGTATAGCATACATGTATAATGTGTATGTGTTTTTTTAAAAAAAAAAAAAAAAAAAAAAAAATAAAAAAAAAAAAAAAAAAGAGTAATATTTCATAGAACAATGTAACACTTGCCAAGTCAAACACATACAGTGGTATTAGCACTCTACAGGACTTTTGATTTACACATCATACGCACAGGTTCATAAACATTCGCCCGTTACATTATGCAAGGAGACGACCCCTGTTCTCTACCCCTGCAGACCAATACTACATTTGAGTACATTTATATCCATGCCCATACCCTGCCCTCACACCGAAGTTACAAATTTATAAAACCTTCTTAATGTCTAGGTCTCTATAACCCTCTGTGAAAGCACCACTCCCACCTTCTCCCCATAAATTTCTCGTTATCTCGGCACTACGTTTTATAAAATGTACTGCCAATACCCGCACTCTTCACTCCACTGCACCCTTTCACCCTCATTTTCCCCACGTTATGTAACATAATCTACCTATAATGTACTTCCACAGCCCTTAATAATACTTCATCCATACCCCCACGTCAGACTTAATTGCCCGCAGAGAGAAAAGTTTTTTACCATCTTATCCTATGCAGCACCTGCTCAACCCAACCCCCTTGACGCTCGCCATCCCCTCACAAGATTTACACTTAGTGGAACGAAGATTCCTCCCCTCAAACATAATCCACAGGACCCCCCCCCCCCATCAACCACCGTTAAGCCCGTAAAACCACTTCCTGATGGTAAAATCCCATGCAAAAAACGATACATCACCCTCAGACGCCCACGGGTTGTAACCTTTGCTACTGACCTTCTCTATATACTTCCCCAGGTATACTTGGGGAAAATCCCCTCACACCGGGTTTGCCACAACCCTCTCCACTATCATCCTACATGACCTACTTATTTTTACCTTTCCCATATCCCTAACCAACACACTGCCCTCAAATTAGTTCACACTCACGCAACTCTTTCCAGAAAAATACATTGTGTAGTTCAATCTACTGTGTATCTTGACCAACCACCCCCCAACACCCCACCCTCCCTCATCACCTCCCTTTTAATGAGATACTTCTTGACCCTCCGCTTTAAATGTCATTAAACCCAACCCCCCCCTGACGCACAGGTAAATTTACCAATCCTTTTAATGGCGCCAATCACAGCCTGAACACCACAAAAATTTAAAAACCCCTCTAAGTATATCTGCAATTAGCCGTTACCCAGTTTAAAGGAAACACGGCTGCACGTGACAGACCTTACTATTACAATAAGACGTTAATTACCAATGGCACGCTGCAAAAGGGTCAAATGATAAGGCCGCAATGCTCCAAGCGGACCCCTCGATTCTAGTCTACCAACCTGTCCGAGTTGTGTCCACACGTGCAACATCGATGATCATCTGCATAGTATAAGACCTAAATTTTTAATGGCATCACGCCGCTTCGTCACAACTGCACTACCCCACTCAACCCTCCACACTCCAAAGCTCCTAACCAATGACCTTGGATTCTCTGAATTCACTCTCATACCAGTTGCACGTGACGAACGTGTCGCTACACTCTCTAAGGCGTTCATTGACATCCCTTCTACCGAGATCAGTAGTATCATCTACATACCCTATTAGAATGGCCAAACCTCCCTACTCCACTCCCTTCCCCCTCTCACTAATGCCCATTTGGTGACGCAGACCATTCTATATAGAAGGGGTCCGCTGTATGCAGCAAAAAAAGCTGTGAAATAGCGACACCCCTGTCTAAGTCCCCTAACAATTACATCACTCCCCCTATTCTCCATTAAATCTGTACTCTAACCATTGCCCCTTGACATAACGCATCTACCCATCCCACTTATTTCTTCCCAAAAACCCTGGTCTCCTTAGGTTAGCTCTCCAATGGCTTCTCGCTCCACTCTATATATGCTCCTTGCCAGTCTATCTAGTGCAACCGCAAATCCCCCCATTTTCCCCCCCTTTTTCTCCACGAATCCCTTAGTAACCCTTTGCCCCTCCCCCATAGATACCTGGCAACCTCAAACTGGGTTTCCGATACAACACACTTAATCCTAATTTCCTTAAAATCATTAGCAAAAACAACTTATATCCCGCATAACAACGATATTGCCAGTAGTCCTAGCGAAGGCTGTCCCTTTACCTTCGGTACCAGACAACTACGAGACTGTTGCATGCTTGGTCTTCCCAACGTGCCCCTCTCCTTTCATCAAGTTTAAAACCTCACACAAAAAAACCTTTATTAGCTCCGCAAATGCTGTTGATAAACTCTGCCGGTAGTAGTCATCGATTCCCCGGAGCTTTGCCAATTTTCGACAGGGTAACTTAAGCTATCCATATTTCCCCTCGGTTATTTCCACACCCAGTGCTTCCCTATCACTGCTTTCACCACCGAAATGCACACTTCACCACACCTGTTCTAAATCCCAACTCCTACCCCTTTCCTATTGCACCATTTACTTTCATAAACCACTTATCCGCAAACAACCCATTCCCATCTGTAGTGTGGACGGTGGCGGATAACCTGACCCTCCTATACCCTCCCTCCGAACTCAAGAACCTCCAACCATGAATGCAGTTTGCTGCTGCGTTGTTTTTTTGCATGCGCAACACAACACGTCGGACGGCCTTTCTCCCCATAACACCTCATCATAACACTGCTCGTCCTGGATTTCCCGCAACCTCTCTTTAAGTTCCTTAATGTTGTCCATAGGATAGGTACCTCCAGCTCCCTTTAAATAACATCCTTAACCTTTCCTCCAAATAATTATTAAGTCAGATTTTAAAGAATTGAGCCTTTTCCCTTCCGCCTCATATTAAAGGCCGAATCCGTTCCTTAGCCACACCATCCTGCGACGTTAACCGTCCTCGACCCTTTTTTACTCCTCAGTTACCCCTCCAACACTGCTGTAAAAACTCCTCCAACACCTCCTTCATCTTCCAACACCACTAGTTATTCTTAATTTCCTGTATCCGCCTAGAGAATTGTCTAGCTAGTAGGTGAATCACCACTCGACCTCTGCTACTTACCGCCCGAATGATCGGAAAAAACTACTTCAATAGTATGGACAGACTTTGTCAACACCCTGTGGATATATACAAACCTATCTAACCTAGCTGCATAACCTTCCTCACGATGTTTGATCCACCTCCAAAGCGACCACTACCACATCCCTCAAACTGAAACATACACCCAAGCCGATTACTAAGACTGCCAACATGTGCCCCGTCCCCTCGTGGTTACACATAGCTCGCTCATGATTACACAATTCCAGCCCCACCAGCGAGTTGAGCAACTGCAGGTAAAGACCACGGAAGACTGAGGCGTGAGAAAAACAACTAGGGATTCATCACACACAAACCTCCTCATTTACTTTAATCGTTTCGCACGCCGGTGCATACCACACTTACATCAAGGGTTTACCCTCTGCCCCATCTCCCCACGCATCCACACGCAACACTCCTCGCCCGCCCCTTCCCCCTAACTTCGTTTGCAACAGATAACGGCTCGCCTCCTTATCAATAAACCACACACTTTCGGAACGTGCAGATGGAGATAAAACCTTATACCATGCCACATCGAGCACTCATTCCCTCCTCTTGAAATTATGCTTCCTGTAGAAAAATACGACGTCCACTCTATATCGACCGTACGTAAGAGCATAGGAAACATTCCCTCTTCACTCCAGTTACACAGTCCATTCACAATTCACAGTCTTTACACCTAAGCCTTCCTAAAGCTTCCAAACCTTCCCCTCTCAACCTTCCCCGGGCCTCCTGCCCAGGGTCAAACACATGATGTCTCACCCATCCACCCCACCCCCCTTCTTCCGATGCGCTTATCCTGGCTATCTCGATAATATGCATCCTTCTCCAGACCCTGCGCTGCGTCAGGGGACGTCATCTGGTTGACGCTGCCGCCCTCTTCCTGTGAGCCCTTCCTTCCGCATGCTGTCTTCCGACGCGGATTCCTGCGAAAGTGAACGTTACCGCTTATCTGTGTCATGTGCACAGAAGGCCGGCTGACTCCTGTCTGTGCCTGATGATTTGCCGCCTTCCCCTTTTGTGCCTAGATCCCGTACCACTTATCTCCCTTGCAAATCGGAACCATCTCTCGGACTAAGGCCCATCATTCCTCCCCAGAAGGAGGGTAAAGTTTTCAATTACCTCATCGAGTCCTTCTCTCAGCTCCGCACCTCCTTGCTGGATGAGCATCTTCCCTCCCATTGTCACCGAGGCAAAGTTTGGCCATTTCTGGCTCCACACAACTCATGCACTCGCCCATCTTGCACACGAGGGAATCCTCAACAATTTCACTCCACAGACGGCCATCTCTCGGTTTCCTTGGGAAATGTCTCCACTATGGCATTCCAAACCTGTAACTGGTGCTCCACAGTCTGCGCCGTCCCCCTCCATGGTCGCCCACAGTCGCTCGCCATGTGAACGTACTCCACACAGCATGCATGTACGTCGCATGGCCAGCATACGACACTAGAAGTTTGGGTCAAAACTCGTCATCACGCGACGTAGGACGGGATGGATGCCTCGATAATTTTGAGGGAGAAAGTGCCTCGGACGTCCTCCATGTACGCACCTGCCGCCCACTTGCCTTGGGTTGCAAGATGCACTGGTACATTAAGATGCAATACACGTTCTTTAAGTCATCCTCGTCAGCCTGAAGGGGACGTTGAGCAACTTCACCCATGTATAGTGGCGAGAGACGTCATTTGAGATGCACTTGACAGTGGGTTGGATCTATACTCACATGCTCGTAATTTTCTTCACCATCGGACTAATACACAGCCGTTCGATTTAACTTGCGAAGATTCGATAGGACCCATTTCAGATGGCCACACCATATACCTCATCATCCTGTAACTCCATACGTCTCTCTGATGATTGTCGGAAGTAAACACTGAGCCATTAGGGGGAAATCGCCCCCGAAGCAGATCAAGCCGACAGTGTTCACCCCTACGCCGGATAATCAGCGCTTCTAGCGTTGGTTGTTGGCTATGAGAGCTCTCCTGACCAAACAGCAAGAGGCGTGTGCAGAGCTCAACACGCTCCACCGCAGTCAGGGCAGCTATATGGTAGATTTACCATAGTCACATGGGGCATTTCAGGCATAGACGGTCAGGATCAACCACTGTCGGCGTTGAAATATTCAGTGGGGCGATAACGCCAGTTTCAGCAGGTTTATCTACCTAAAATCTTCAGAGACCACGTATTGGCATTCAGGATTGGAGAGTTGTACGTAGGTAGGGGTGTAAGCACTGAACGGTATAGCACATAGTGGTCTTCGTGAAAAACTGCTTCAGCAAACGGTTATGAATGGATAGTCACCGTTTTCAGGACGTAAGTCTTGGATGCAACACCAGCTGGTTGTGTTGATGATGTCGATGTATCGAGACGATTATACTGGATGAAAGCTGCGATTGTCCCCTTTGAGGGCTGATGAGACAGACATCAGAAAAGTTTTTGAGCGAGATACGCGAACTGTTCATTGGCCCAGCATGTACGTGGGTGTAGTGTCAGCGCTGTCTGTGGTAGGAGTGGTCGGTAATGATGGTGGTAGTGGTAGGAGGTAGTGGTAGTGGTGGTGGTAATGATGGTTGGTTCGTGGTAGGGGTTGTGGTGGTGGTGGTGGTGGCTATGATGGTGGTAGTGGTAGGGTTAGTGGTGGTGGTAATGATGGTGGTAGTGTAGGGTAGTGGTGGTGGTGGGGTGTAATGATGTTGGTCAGTGGTAGGGGGTAGTGGGTTTTGGTTGGTAATGATGGTGGTAGTGGTTAGGGGTGGTCGTGGTGTGTGGTGCGTAATGATGAGTGGTAGTGGTAGGGGTAGTGGTGTGTAATGATGGTGGTAGTGGTAGGGGTGGTAGTGGTGGTGGTGGTGGTAATGATGGCCGGCTGGTAGTGGTGGTTGGGTTAGTGGTAGTGGTGGTGGTAATGATGGTGTAGTGGTAGTGGTAGTGGTGGTGGTAATGATGGTGGAATGTGATGATGGTAATTTAGATTAGATTTTGCCACGAAGTTGCTAGGTTATTGTGCACCCATATCACATCCTGTGAACAGTAGCACAAGAGTATATGGATTTCACAAAAGGCCTAGGAACTAGCAGCCCAAAGAATTAAACAGGAATACATATGGATTTATATCTACATACTCTATAGATTCACTTATCTGTTGCAAGCAAATTTAGGAAATTTGCTTAGTTATCTGCGTATCTTATTTTCAAGGTAATAAGATATCTTGAACATGTCACAAAGGTTATTTACTACTGTCTGTCTCTGTATTCCTCTCAATAAGTGGACAATTAAGCACATAGTAGGTTCGAGAGAGTGACCATATGCCTGATCACATATTTTACATTTAGTTTGATTCATCTCTGTGTGTCTCCCAAAATGCCAGTATGTTACTTGTAACCAAGCCTAAGCCTGGCCACTACAACATCAGTCAGTCTGTTCACATTGCAAGTTGGCTCATAAACATACTTTTCTACGTTCATGTTAATCATAGTGGGTTATAGTTTACTCAGGATTTTAACGATACATTCCTATAGCTATCATTTTCGGTATTTTTACTTTTCCTAATTTTATTCCTTTTGTAGACTCAGATGTACTTAAGTATATTATTCTTATCCTTCTGGGTATCTTTTGGATCTACATATCAACTTTATCATGAAGGAGTATATACCAATGTTTGATGGGATCCATTGTTATTGTACATTAATCCCTTGTCCCTGATTTTTGAGTGAAGTTTTCTCTACCTGGTTCTCAATGAGCATGTTGTTGGAGTCATTGCATGTGTTAAAGAGCCTTCAATGATGTAATTGAATCAGTAATGATGACAGAGTCAAGATAGTCGTCACTGTTAGCTTTTGCGCCATTAGGATTGCCAGAAGACTCTGTTTGATCCATCGTGTATATAAGTTGTGATATCATTATTTATTACAGCTAGCCGCGATAATATTTCTTCTTGAGAGTTGCTTTAACAAGTGATTTAAGGAAGGGATTACTAGCTATGAGCTTATTGGCGGGAACTTTGAGGTATGTGATATTAAATGAACACATCTTCCATGGAGGGCGTGGTGAAATGCTCTTGTTGCCTGCAGTGTTTCAGTTCATTGCAGGTTATATAACTTGATGCTAGTATAAAACTTGAGTGCACGTTTTCCACAGTCATTTTAGCTCTTTGTGTATATACCCATAGTCTCTTGGTTAGATTCCTTGTGACTGGAGGTCTGGTTCAGATAGTAGTTCATCATACTATGACAGAGTCCACGCTTAGCTTAATATGATGTACTAAATCCTAGACACTGATCTTGCTATGCCACCATTTAATGTGAGTAGGAGTAGTAGTGCCCCAATGTCGAAACATTTATCATGCTCATTTAGCACGTTCACTAGTTTAGTTCATTGGGTGTTGTTTATAGACCACATTATTCTTATGTATGGGCATTAAAATCTAAAGAATGAGGGCTTAGGGTTCACTATTGATGCGATCTGGTAATGCATCAGGTCGAAGCTGGTTCACTGGGATTAGTGATTGAAAATGTTTATGAAAAAAATCGTTTGCATATACTCTGACACCATGATACCGCATGTTAACTCGACTCTGCAGGGCAATGAGTGAATTGGCAAGTTCTTTCTGACACACATCACACAATCAGTTGGTGTGTTGACCTCTAGGTTATAAGCTGATATCAGCAACTTTGTGCGGAGGTGCTCCATCTTTCAGTCTTACATTCTCTTAAAACAGAATGACATGATAGGTGGTATGATGGTGGGTCAGTGATGGCGGTAGTGGTGGAGGTAGGTGTAGTGGTAGTGGTGGTGGTAGTGATGGTAGGTAGTACGGCCGTTGTAGGTAGTGCTGGTGGTATTGATGGTGAGTAATTGGTTGGGGGTAGTACATTAGTGCACTGATTCAGAAACTGTTTTTTCTCTATAAAGTATTTACAATGCTGAAGGTTTACGGAATTTGGTTATTTGTGTTTGGTTTACATGTAGTAAGAAATAATAATGTACAGATGTGTACCACTAGAACGCCTAGCATGGCTGGCATTTCGGGCCAGATGGTGAGTAGTGATGGTGGTAGAGGTAGTGGAAAGGAAAAGAGAGTGAGAGAGACAGTTGTCTCAGTTTGTTATGAGTTGACAAGTTGAATGTGTGTGTGACAGAAGGAGGACGAGTAGGAGAGAAGGGTGTTGGATGGAGGAGAAGGTGATGGTGGAAGAGGAAGTGATGGTGGAGAAGATTGGTGGAGGAGGAAAAGTGATGGTGGAGGAGGAAGTGATGGTGGAGGAGGAAGGTGATGGTGGAGGTGAAGGTTGATAGTGGAGGAGGTGATGGTGGTGGAGGTGGTGATTTGTGGAGGAGGAGGTGATGGTGGAGGAGGAGGTGATGGTGGAGGAGGAGGTGATGGTGGAGGAGGAAGTGATGGTGGAGGAGGAAGTGATGGTGGAGGAGGAAGTGATGGTGGATGTTTTCGACTCTTGCGATCTATGACGCAACAATAGGGAAATGAATACTTAGTTTTGATTTTGGTTAGTTTTATTTACTACCAATTATGAACCTTTATTGGTATCCAGTTAGTGAATTAAAATGACAATACACTATTATCAATGAAATGAGACTGTACAATGAGGAACGTAATTCTATGGTTACATTCCCCATGGATCAAGTATAATACCATTATTACAGACGTCGAGTCCTAATAAGAACTATATTGGGAATTTAAGGAAATCCATCAGTTATCCGCTTAAAGAGAGAGGATTTTCAGGACTCTTGGAATTAACAGCAAATAAAGTGAAGACAATAGACACGATCTAGATATTATTGACCAACGTTAAGATCTCTGGGTTGTAAGACACGAATCAGAGTTAGTGCTATGATCTGGAAACTGACTGTTCAAAATGCCTCAGGTGTCTGACCGTCAGGTGCGGTCAGGTGTAGGTTAGCGCGTACGGCGTCACAAAATTCTGGAAAGCCGATCAAACCGGGCTT